TTTCCTTTCTGTTGGTTAAATAAATTTATCATTATTATTATTATTATTTTTTTTTTTAATACGCCTAGTTTTAACTCTATTTCTACTTTTTTCTTAACTCCTATCTAGTCATTACAGTTATCCACAGTTTACTACTCGCTACTATTAATACATGTCTGATATTTCCTTTACAGTGGTTTAATCTTTTATCCATGGTGGAGATAAATACAGTCTGTCCGGTGTATCCCCCAGTAGTGGACTTTTCGATTAACTCCTCGATTTTTACTTTATTTGTTTCGGCAACTACTGCGCTAGCACCGTTTGCCTCTCCTGCTTGTACGCCTATGTCCGCAGTACTGTAGCATATACTGTAGCAGTACATATACAAGGGGGGGGGATAAACAGTGTCCGGCGGAATCAATATGTAAATAATATTAACAGTAGCCGGCGGAATCGATATGTAGATATTTTAAATTTAAACAGTAGCCGGCGGAATCGATACAAACCTTTTTTCTAAACAGGTAGTTTCGGCGGAATCAATAATTCCCCATATGCCCCAGGTACATCTACATGTACATGCATATATAGTGGTCTAGCGGGACGTCAGTACATAGCAATAATATATTAATATATTATATATACAAAATTATAGAATATTATTATTACTATTATTTATTATTAATATTATAGAATATTCTAATTTAATATATTCACATGTGAAAACCATTTAATTCGTATTATACAATTTATATATCATTGTTGTTCATTAATAACAATGGATTTCCGTGGAACACACCCAAACGTGAAATACATATACTCATTAGTCATTAATTCATTATACTCTGTGATAAATAATGTTGTATTCGTTAATATTTTACATTACAGTCATCAGTATGTTACTATGTTATGAATTATGATCATAAGATGGTTTCTAAGATTATTTGACAATAGTTTTTTGTTGATTTCACCAAGTTCCTATACAGTCACCGAAACACGGACATCGTACTTTGAAAATAGGAACCAATAGGCAATAATCGGTGTTTGTCGATTGCCTCCCAGACACAAGTAATGATAGGTAAACGATKTTTTCCTACCTTTTCTGTGTTCCGATTGCGTCCTATTGTGCGATAGGTAAACATATAATGTGACACATAAGATATTAAATCTATAATATATTTATTAGGAATGGTATTTTTTAACACAAATTGGTTTTTACTCTATGATAAGTTTACGAACATTTTATCTTAAGACTGGTAGTCCGCTACTCTAATCGATTTATGATCACGTGGCGATATAGTATAGCTACATCAAGTGTCTTAGAGCCGAGAGATACATTACATAAAATGTATAGTTTGTATTGAAAATTCAAAATGAATTAACTCTTTTTTTCTATACATAGCATTAATTTCCAAGTATATAAATCCTAGAACTATGAATGTAGGTATTAGATTGCCATTACTAAAATCATATTAAAATAGTGTGATTGTATGCTTATAATATTATACAATCGTAACATAAAAAGGTGAGAAAAAATAATTTAACTTATTCGTGTTGCGGACGTAATCGACACACTGAAAAGGTATAAAAGGTTGCGACGAGACGCAATCGAATGACGCCCGCAATAACACCGATTAAGATGTAGCCAAGCGATCAAAAAAAAAAAAAAAATGTCTCTGTGCGAGTGAAAAAGTGTAAATACCTATAATAATGAGAATGCTATTGAAATCGTAACAACTGCTAACAACAGTGAAGAGAATATTATTGTTATTATTTTCGCGCATTCGTAACGATTTAATATTTTAATCCGAGCGCGTTAACAGTCTTCAAGCCAGTCAAGGACTCACGGGCCAGTATTATTATTATTATGACATCAGATACTTTTGTTATAGTATATTGGATACAGTACGACAAGCAGTTGCTGCAGGTGCATAAGTGCAGTGGTGGTCGGTAACGAAGCGAAGCTTATCAAATTTTGTGCAACGTCTCAGCGCGGTGTGCTTTATGTTTTGTAATTGATATTGTCGTAATTTTTTTGTTTTTCACTTTTGTCACACATTCGTCGACAGTTCGGTTTGCGACTACCTTATTAGGAGGCGATTGGACGAGGTTTGAAATCTCGCCAAAAAGTTTTTAATGCACGTGCTCAGACACACGTAGCCATAGGATTGAATATGTGCGCGAGAATTGGTTATACTATTTTCAGTAACCACTAACCTTGGATGATTTCTTAGTCTTAGTCTCTCAGGGTACGTTATTCATTTCCCTTGAGAATTGACCATGTTTTTATTTATGTGTTAATACATAATACATTTAATTGAAGCCATAATAATCGGCAGAGGCAGAGACGTACGCAAGAAATAGGATGTGTGCATTGGTGAGCTGATTCTCCATGTCCAATTTCTTCCAAAGATATTTTATGGATTTTTTAAAAATATACTGTTTATTATTACTATTTCACTATGATAATTATAACACATAATCATATAATATATATAACGGTAATATATGAATTTGATAAACAGATAGGTAGTAATAACTTACTGTACATGTAAAAAGTGTACAGCTAAACCGGTGACGGCAGCATGTGATAATTGTATCATTGATAAAATTTGGAAGTGGGTAAAGTATTTAAGGGCTACTGAGAAAGTATTAGGTATTTTTATACTTTTAATCCTAAGTAATTTCATTCAAATTTGAACTTAAAATAACTATAAAAAAAAATTGTGTATGTATAGTTTTTAGATTTTTTCGCTACAGAATTAAATACTTACGTGGAAATTTGTTTACAATGTTCAATCCTTAGCTATACAATTTAAATTATTTAAAGGTTTTATAAATTTTTAACAACTAAAGAATTTGTAAATTTTCAATAAAATAAATGTTGTTACAATATGAACTTTAAATAGTTATAAAAAAAAAAACGTGCCTATGAATTTTTAATATTTCTAACTGACATTATATAAACTTATGGGGAACCTTGTATTAAATTTTCAAGTTTTTTGACCCAACGAATAAAATTGTATAGACATTAAAAATAAATAATAAACTAAAAAAAACGGAAAATTTCAAATGTCTATAAATTACTTAAAAGATTTCAAAATGTTATCAAGTATAGAACATGCATTGATTTTGCGTAAAAATTTCCTCTTTTCCTTATTTTTTTGTTTTTCCCAGTGATTTTTAAAACTTCAAAATTTGACCTCCTCAACGCATTAACTAGATTCACTTTACAACCGGAAAAGCTACTGGTCGAAAATCGAAGCATTATTTCGACCACTTATCGTGTACACACACACACACACCACACAAAATAAAAAACACACATTATTGTAAAATCAATACATTCATCGCTCCGCTTAGGATCTAAAAATTAAGGAAAAACGGTGATTTTTACGCTAAATTGGTTTTCAAGAAAATCGATATTAGATATTGGTGTAACTCAAAAACAAATTACCGTAGATAGGTACATACAATTTTCACTGAATATTTATTTCATAAATTCGTACACTTGATACAATTTTCAAAATATTTCAATTATTTAAAGTTATTTGTATTTTATATAGAACTGAAATTTTTAGTTTTTTATCTTATAAATGTCAATAAGATTTTATTCGTTGGATCAAAAAGCTTGAAAATTTAATACAAGGTTTCCAATAAGTTGATATAATAGCAGTTGGAAAATATAAAAATAAATTGGTACTTTTTTTATAACCATTTAAAGTTCAAATTTAGACAAAATGAATCAAATTATTTAGTTGTTAAAATTTATAAATGATTTAACTTATATAGCTAAGGATTGAAAATTTAAAATAAGGTTTCACATAAGTAGTTAATTCTGCAAAAAAAAATAAAAAATCTAAAATCTATAMAAAMWCATATTTTTGTAGTTATTTTAAGTTCAAATTTTGATGAAATTACATATTAAATATCTAAGGAAAATAATTTTAGTTATATTGTTGTAATTTAAAAATATTATTTGTGGGTATTTGAAATTTCTAGAGTATACTTTACATTGTTATTTGTTATTGTAATAGTTAATGTTGTTAATGATTTATATTAATAATTTATTGTGTAGTGTATTGTATATACTATGAATGACTGATTGATAATGAGTAATGATTAATATAGTATAAAATATCCTAGACTGAAAAACCATATCCGTTCAGAATCATTTTTGTATACAATGATATCATATCATTGAATTTAAAWTTTAATACCATTCATTATAGTAACCTACTGTACAACAGAGTAACATCCACTGTCCAACTTTTTAATATTGTTATACTATTTTATTTTTATATTAGCATTAATGTCTTAATCATAAACATTGATATTCATCTATCATTCACCAAAATTTATGGTAGTATATACTAAAGAAATTTTTGAGTCATAATCCACGAAGACAATTTACATATTTTTCTTTAAACTTTATACTTAACATTAGGTTAATTTTATAATAAAAATTGTTTTTAAATCTTATTATTTATTTATTTTTTGGTGCGTCAGGGTGGAAAATTCCTAAATACAGCACTTATTTATATACAATTTATTAAAGGGGATAATCTAGGAGTATATTATAYAGGTGTTAAGATTATTAAAATTTTAAAGAATTTAAAAGCCCAAATATCAGAGAAAAAAATGATGGTAAATAACAGAGGCAGACTGTGAGGTAAAAGGCCCACTATTATACTACAATAATAAACGGCTCTAACCAGCCTCTATGAAAAACCTAATTTTTCTGGTAGTTCATCAAATATATATAATATATTGAGTCGGCTTGTTATGCTATGACACACTAACATACCTGGTGAGCCCGCCTTGGTAAATAATTAAATTTCTTATTAAACAAAACACATTAGCAACTAATGCACAACTTTTAAAGTTTATACTTTTTAGTAATATAGGAACACTTGAAGAAGCAATGAATACAATGAAAAATGAATTAGAATTTTTGTATAAAATTAAATTATTATAATTTATTAAGTAAAGTATTCATAATAAATTGATAAAAAATTGCAAATTAAAACATGGAAAAATAATACTGTGATGTTAAAATTTAAATTAAGATGTATTCAAAATGAAACTGATGCAAAAAATATTTGTTTGACTTGTGATAAAAAAAAAATAACATTTTAAAATTTATTTTTTAGTATACTTGTGAACCATGCCACCGTATCTAGCTATGAAAGCATTTATGTCAAACTTTCTCTTGCATCCTTCATAGTTCATATACCTAATTTTTCCAAAAATTTCTCTTTCTCTCCATCCCTGATCATGAATGCCACATATTGACCACATACACCCAACAAAACCACTAGGGTCACGACCATCCATGCTATATTTGTCATTGAGATAAATTGCATCAGCTAGTGCTCTATCTGGAGTATCAGTCCATTCTAGTATCTTTTTTGCCCAGTACATGCGTAGGAAACCATGCATCTTGCCTTCCTTTACCAACTGTATTTGTGCAGAATTCCAAAGATCGTCATGTGTGCGTGAACCTTCTAACTCTTCTCTAGTGTACACATACATACGTTTATCTTTTCTAAACAAAATATACAGTATGTTAATTATCTATTATGATTTATGACTGGAAACAGAGTAATGCAAGAAAAAAGAACTTGCCTGTGTTCGTCTAAGGTCGTTTGAGCCCAGGTTGGAGCACCTTCAATCTTATCATACTTTGGGTTGTAGTAACAAAAGTTGTCAGAAAGTTCTCGCCGAATAATTGCTTCTTCCCTATAAGCTGCCACACTATCTGGATACTGTTTTGATAGTTTACTAACTTCTAAGATACATCTTTGAGCAGATATCTGACCTGAAAATTATAAATGTGTTAAATAAAATAAAATATCTATCATAAATATAATATTTTCTTACCAAAATGCAACCATGGTGACAGTTTGCTAAGACCATCTTTTACAGGATTATTTCGATCTGTAGAATATTTTGGCAATCTCTTTTTTAGAAACTGTTCTAACTCACTCATACCAGCTTTGAAACCAGCCTTCAGTCCTGGCACAGATACAACACTACGGTCCACTTCTAAGGTTTTGTCAGCTTCATCCCAATTTGTTGGCTAATGGTATTGAATTAAAATAATAAAATAAATTATTTTATTTGAAATGTTTCAATTCCACTACATACTTGAGCTTTAAATGTACTGGGAAATGGATGTTTGATAATTGGTGGAAATTCTGTTAAAAACTCGGGTAATTTGTTGTTGATTTTGTTTCGTATTGTTCTTGCAGAATATTCTTGTTTGTCAGAGGCTACCCAACAAGGTACAATATTATGGGAATCAACCTGTATAACTGGCACTTCAGATCCAATACRTTCAGCTAATTGTTTAGTCCATGTCATATGTTCTCGCACAGGCATAAAATCTACAACTATTGCACCCAGTTTATGCTTCCTTACAAAATMTGGTAGTATATCTGCTGCACAACCAATTAAGAAATGAAATTGGATATCAAGTGATTTACACTCAGTTTCTAGTTCTTCCAATCCTATTATAAAAAAGTTAAAAAATAGTAATCCATTGTATGTTTTAGTTTATAGTTAAAGAAACAATATAGTTTTTACATAAAACGCATCATTAAAAGTATGACTAAAACTTTTTTTATTTCAACATGTAATAATAATTTTTACTTTTAACTCTTTGTTAATTATGTTTTACATAAAGTAAATTCAGTTTAAGACTTAAGGGGAAGTTATTACCATTGAATATTGATTATACAAACCATGGCTAAATAAATTTAGCCATGATATAAATATAACCAATGGACTACTATGCTCTTTTACAAATACAAACAAGCAGAGAATAACTTTTCACAAATTAAAACTCTTTATAGCTTAAATATTGTTTAAAAATGGTTGGTTTGATTTATAACCCATACATTAGTTCACTCTTAATAACAAAATAATATTTTACAATTAATAATACAACTTGCATATTATTGGTATATAATAATAATCTGTATTAATGCTAAAATGTCCAAAAAAACAGTTTTTCTTTTATCGATATTCAATATGCTGTTTTATAATCAATGTTATGACATTAAAAAATCTTCATAGTAGTATGCTAACATTCATTTAGTTAATATTGCAGGTAGAAGAAAACATTGTGCATAGATGAGGAAGTGTATAGCAAAGATTAAAAAAATAAGAAATATAAATTTACAATTTATGCAGTGCCGTATCTAAGCATTGGCAAGGTGGGTGGTGGCCAAGGGCGCAGTTTAAAATGATCGCGCTAGGGGCGCAATTTTTATATCATATATAAATACTAAAAATTCATTTTAAATTTATAAAATTGGTTGCCAAGGGTGCACATAGAGCTAGTTACGGCACTGAATTTATGTATTAATAACATTTTGTTCTATATCATTATATATTTTCACTGTATCATATTTAAATTAAAATAATAGCAATACAAATAAATTTAGTGAACCATCCAAATTTACTTCATTTGAAATGATTTTTAGAATTTTTAAATATAATTATTAAAATCTTGAGATTTTCTGTACTAATTAAGCAATGTTCTGTGGTAATACAAAGTCTGTATTTCAAAACATCAATTTTTTTATCATAAATTATTTTAAATTTTGATACACTTAATTCAAAATTCGATTGAGTAGTTTTTTGGTTAGTAAAATGTTTTTTTTAATGGATTTGAAAAAAATTTAAAATAGGTGCAATATTAATCTAGTGTTCATTATACTTCAACTATTTTTATAAGTTATAAATATTGATGGATTAATATAAATTACTAACATTTTTAAGTCATCATGGCCTTGATATTTACTAGATTCATTATTGTGAACTTTTCAGTAACACACAAAATTAAACAACTTAAAATCTAGTAGATCGAATAGTAGCTAATTAATTAACATTTATAATGAGATGTTTTTATTTGAAAAAAAAAATACATAAGTTTGTGTCTCTACAGGATATTTTCTTAGTAGTGAAAGAAATCTTAAGAATACAAAAATAAGGTCTTTAAATATATTTTAAAATTCCAAAAATTAGATTTTGAAAAATTACATTATTGAAGGGGAAAAACAAGGTTAGTATATTTGGAAAATCACCTTGTACTTATATTATTTATAATAGAGATAATGATAATAATTTTAGTATACATTAGAAACAAATTTGTATGAAAATATTAGATAAATTTTTTATTTTACCTTGAAATATATGTTTATAATGCCGTAAGCTACAGTTTAAGAATTGTTTTAGTCTACARAAAGTGATATGTAATGAAACTTTGTTTTTGATAGCTAGTTTTTGTGCATATAGTAACGCCCAGTTATCTGAAAAAAAAAGGCAATCAAAGAATAAAATACAAAATTACATTAAATATTTYATTTACCATGAATACGTTCATCTCTGAAAGTCCAATAAATAACTCCTTCAGCCCATTCTGGCACTTCTTTTTTTTCAGATAACACACGCAAACGTTTCTTATTGAATTTAAATTCCATTATAGAAGGGGCTGTCTATAAATATAAATTTTGTTGTATTAACATTATAATTTATCACAAAATTAACTTACTTTATTACGCTCTGCTGCTACATCATTTAAGAAGTTACTGGTTTTGGAAGTGCTAACTTCAGAATTCGTTTTCTTAATTTTTTTGGTAGGTGGTGAATTGTCAGACATTTTGCTCATTTGGAGTGTATTATTCTAAAGAAAATATAATAATTCATTTTTAAGTGTTAAAGTTATTTATTTATAATGTAATAATAATATCATCAAGTAGGATTTGTATTGATATATGACCATCATTCAAAGTAGTCATTATCAAGAGTCATTTTAATATTCTCTGATTTTATGTATCTATCAACATCTTTATATTACAATGAAATATACACAATCCTTTGATTCATAAATACAAATATAAAAATGAAAAATCTTCTCCYTAATTTCAAGTTGATATACTAATAAGTAATAACTAGAATAACTTACCTTTCGTATCTTATATTCCTATTTCCTAATTACTTAGTTTGATACTTCAAAGCCTTCAATAGTTGAATGAAGTAAAGTGAGATTCTGTATAATAGATAATTTGAATCTATAATTTGTAAAAGCCTGTAYTTAATCTTTATTAATTCGTATTTGTTTATTATAATCGATAGTATGATTTATAAATAAATCATAATAATCATGTAAAAGTATCTAGTAATAACGATGATGGTGAAATAACAACAAGTACAAAAATAATAAATAATAATAATAAATGTTTGATTTTACCACAGAACAATAATTTTACTTTTACTTAATTTTAATCTACTAACCACTAGTTACCGCTGATAAGGAAATTTATGAAATTGTTTGATACCGCGAAAGTATATTAAATTGTATTTACCAGAAACATCGAGGAGTAATTTTAATAACAATATTGTTATAAGTACCTACATTTTTTTTTTTTGAAAAAAATTTTAATTTAGAGGTGTATTGGTATCATTGGTGTCAACATCAGATTACAACTTAGTTTGTGACATGGGCTTATAAATATTAGTCTTGTATTAAACAATTCTATACCTACCTAATATTATACGATTTATTTTTGTCAAAAATTAATTCAACCAACTTTTCGGTTATCGTATTAGTGTAGTGTATTACTGTTCTATGGTATTACTTATGATTTTAAAATAAATTACTACAATAGAAAATAYGTTATATATATATTATATTATATGTTATATACTCAGTAACACGGTGTCTGATCAGAATGGTTTTTCGTATGTAATGGTTTATCATTGAATTCAATTTTATACTTATAGGTACAGTGACTTACTCAATGATGAGTACTTTATTCGAAATCTATACCTACTTTGCAACAGAGCGGTTACCTGTTCTCCTYTTTTAAAAATAATAAATCGTTGCCATCTTTACGGCTGAATATAACATAATAAATATTATATTATAGTTCACGACGTACTATTTACATTTTCCGAATCAAAATTTTTAACATAAAACACAAAATTYATTCGCAAATTTCAACATCAAACACATCATTCGTGAGTTGGACACTTGTCGATGGCCTGCAATAACCACGATGGACTTAAAGAAAACGGTGGCGGGAAATTCGACAATGGCGGCGTATTCGGTGCGTCATCGTCGTCGTCGTGTAATAGGTCAACCAACCAGACTAAAAAGGTCGATTTGGTCGGACCCGGTAGCCCGGGAATCGTGAARTATGTTACCGCGGTCACGTCGAACGTCGGCGTCGAAAAGTCGTCCAAGGGTTCAAACGTTACGCCGTCTCGCGGAAAGTTGCGTCGTCGAGACAGTGGCAAGAACTCGATAGGCACCTTGGACCAGGCAATCCGCCAGAGAAACATATTCACCGCGGTGGCCAAGATGCCGGTCGAGATTCAGACGACGTTGATCGAAAACGGCTGGATCGGTAAAATTACGGTCGCCGACAACTGTTTCCGCCGGAGAGGTGAGTACCTACCTTTCACTGTACTTTACTGCATATAATAAGTACAATAATAATCCTAAGTAAGGAGTGCTGTGGGTTGTATATYATCACACCAGACAGTCCGATTTCGATTTTTAAACAATATAATTAGTGTTAAGCGGTTAAGCCACTATCAAGTTTTATTCATTAGATATTGACTGATGGAATGTGCAGTTCATCAACAAAGTTGAAAATGTGGTAAAACAAATAATTTAAATTTTTAGACAGCAATGAAATGTATATATTTTTTTAATGGAGTTATGTCCAATCATAAGATTTCTTATAAAATATATTCAGTTCAATGGGTACCTCCTAAATTATCATATAAAAAGTCGACAGCAAATTTACGCAATAAAATACTCGTAGTCGAAAACCTGAACGAATCTTCGATCCTAATTCCTAAGCCCTAACGAATTATTCTGATAGAAMAATTATTATTAACAAGGTATTTAATTTTTATTTAACACTTTACTATGTGATTATATTATATATTGAATAATTTTTARTKAAATACTACYAAACAATATTATAGTTTTATTAAACCAAAAAAATYGGTATTTAAAATTGTTAACGATGACACAACATTTACCACCATTGTTTTTAGTTATAATTTTAATAACCGAATAGGTATAGGTAGCTGGTAGGTATTCTATTTGGTTGAAAAGTTAAAAGTTCTAGTAACATGAAAATTGAAAAGCATAACACGTGTGCTACTATGTCACCGGAAATAATACGAGCAACACTGTTGACACCATACGAATTAAAAACTGAATTATTGAAGTGAAACAATACTTTATACCTTCATGTTGCCAATTATATTAAAATTATATGAATAATATCCTATCTTTAGCGCTTAGATTATAAGAATTATCGTTTGGTACTACAATATGGATAAACATTATTTATAGATAGGTACCTTTATAATATTTAAGGTAAGAAAAAAAATCTGTTTTTATATTTTTAAAATTATGTTTAAATATATTAACTCTATTCAATTTACATATACAATATTGCTTCGAATGGAATTTGAATAAATTGAATTGTTAAATATTATATGTATATTGTAGTCTATAGATATTCTTTATATTTACATCATATTGTGATAATATAATGTAATAATGGCAATAATATATAAGTGTTATAATAACATAAATTTTARTTGTATACATAATATTATATATTTTTCATTTTAAACAGAGCATTTGGTCTGGTTTAATGAATGTTCTCTAAATTACTAAATAATATTCATGTTCGTGGTTCAAATTTGACGTAACAACCATCAACTAATTTAAGTGTCATTAAAAACATTAACCTTAGGTCTTCTGGTGTAGGACATCTATCAGACGGGAAAAATTGCATTTTTCTCACTAGTGTGGAAATTACAGTTTTTATTTGAAGCATAGCATATTTGATTCCAATGCAATTTCTAAGCCCGGCGCCGAATGGAATGTATGTATATGGATGTCGACTACTACAAGCGTCGGGCAAGAAGTTGTCCGGGTTAAACTTTTCTGAATTGATGTAATATAATGGACTTGTATGTAAAAATATTGGGCAAATAACTAACGCAACACCTTGAAATTTGTAATTCACATATTTTTAGTACACCGTAAATAATGTTTTTTTTTTTAAATTACCAGCTGGGCATACATATTCTCCTATTTTAATATCTTCATCTAATCTTCTGCCAAGAAATGGTAACGGAGGGAAAAGTCGCAATGTCTCTTTGATTACCATTTCGATATATTTCATTTGTTKAAAATCTTTATAAGTAGGTGGTCTATCATAATTTTCATTCAAAAATATCGATTGTAATTCCTCAAATACCTGAAACATAATTAAATTAATTATACGTAATTAAAAACCTATCAGTAAAATATAATTTGTGCCTTKTTCTGTACGTCCTGATGATGAGCTAACATGAAAATAATACAAGTRATCGCCATAGCAGTTGTTTCTTGTCCTCCTGAAATATTATCAATATTATTTCGAGTAATTTTATTTGTTTATATTTTTTTTAAATATTACAAAAAAATGTAATAACAAATTCTCTTGATGTATCATGTCTATAAATTATAGTTATGTAATTATACTATATACTTATATATATTATATGTATATAATTAATAATAGTATAATGTAAGTATATTATTAGGTATTTATTCAAATAAAAAATAATTATTTATTGAACTAATTTAGTCGATAATATATTAAAAATAATTCTAGATGTTTTAATTGCAGGGACTATAATAACTGATATATTTGACAAAGTATTGTATTGTGTTTTGGTAAATTATTTACCAATCATAACTGTTATAATTTCGTCTCGTATTTGTCCATGGTTCATTTTATGAGAGCTTTCTAAAAGAATTTCCAAAACGGTTTTTGATTTTGGGCAATTGTCTTCATGATCTTTTTCTATTTTTTTCTCACAATTATTTATATTTTGGTTTAATTCAATGATTTTTTTTTTAATTATGTTATCTGTCAATTCGTTTATGACTTTTTGACTTCGATCGTGTTCACGTTTTACTGACGAAAATCGGAATAATGTGTTGTTCAAGTACCATGGATGTGTAATTCTATACTCCCATGCCTAAAATAACCGGTAAATTATTAAAAGATATGAACTTGTTGATATGATCATATGAATAATGGAATATTATGTATTTCACAAAATTTGATAGCGTACTTGCATTGCAATTTGTAGATGCTTAACAAATTGATTGCAGCCGCCTGTTTGAGMATTAAATGTTATACCTAAAGCTGTTTTTCCGATCATTTCCATTGTGGCCATACTAATAGGGCCACTAATATTACATTCATTTGATTTTAACCACTTTTTTTGGAGTATTTCGGCAAGCACGTTTGCTTCTTGGTAAAATATTGGTATAAATGATTTTGTAGATGAGAAATTAAAACCTTTAGTTACCATTTTCCTTAAATAATATAAAAAAATTACTTCGTTTCACATTGTTTAACTTYGAATGACTTAATTAAACTTTATTTTGATGTTTTTTAGTTAATTGGAAAATTAAATTATTGTATAGCATTTCAAATATTTTGTATAAATTACCTGTTATTTTTCCATTTTCCTATGTCGTCAATTGAAAATATTCCTTGGCCCATGATAGACTCTTGTAAAACCATATAATCCTTAGATTTTCTTAAAAATTTGGGATTGCTAATAACTAATTCTATATCTCCAGGCCTCGTAAGTACAATATATAAATTATTAAAAAGCCAGAATTTAGCTATTTGCTTTTCATATCTACAAAATTGTTTAATAAATATCTAAAAATTATATACACAGTACATTTTTATGTCAGTACATTTTAATTTTTATTACGTACTGTAAATCATCAAATTATATATTTGTGATTTCTTATAGATGGTATAATATAAACTATTATAAAGTAATTAAAGTATAATAAGTTCAAAAATAAATTAATAAATTATGTTTATTATAACTGAATATATATTTTATATGAAGTTTGAACTTACATTCGGTATTCTCCTAATATATTTTTGATTAATTTTTCTGGTCCTTGTAACAACAGTGGTAAAATACCAACGAGAAACCATCCATTTGGMCCAGGTATTCGATTTGCAAATATTCTATTCTTTCTGCCTTTAAGTATCAATATTACTATACTTATTACCAGTATAGAAAAAAGTATAAAAAAAATTAAATACTCCATACGCATGTTGTATTGATTATTTATAGAAGAAACTAAGATTGATTAAACTGTGTTTTACACATAATATAACACAAATGCGCATAAATATACGTATACATGCATACCTGTCTATAAATATATAATAAACTAACTAACGTTCTTAAAGATAAATTGAGCAAACTGATACAAAAAATAACAAAGTTAAATTAAGACTTAAAACAAATAGAATATTTAATATTGTGTTGTATTAATTAGTAGTGATAGCATAATATAGTAATCGAAAAGTAACTTATTGTTTAAGTAGACTATACATAAGATCCTGCTTAGGTAACTCATGATTTTGCTTCTGTTGCTATTTTTTGTCTATCTTTGATAATATATGTTTTTATGTCTATACGTGACCTATTAACATACCATATATTTCAACAGTTGAAAAATAATTKATTACTGCATCAGCATTGTATACTAATTTACCAAATATTCAACTATTATTATCTACCTTTATTTGTTAAAATGTTAAACATATTATTCTTGCCACTTGGGAGTTACTTCAAAGAGTTTTATTAAAATTTAACAAAAACAAGCTATACTTAAAATTTTAATATAAAATTTTACTAATAATATCTATGCCCCCTGTTTTATYAGAAATATGGCACATTACACCAACTTCCAAATTCCTATCATAAAAATTGCATAAAAATATTATGGAATAATTTTCAAATATTAATTGTATTTGAGTTATACAAATTACAAGTAACACAACATTATCATCTATCTGAACTCCCTCAATATGAGAGGAGGGCTTTATATTTTTAGCTGCTCATGGCAAATTTTATTTAAGCTGATCCTATTTAAAAGTTAATTTGTTCAGGGAGATGAGATAAAAATAAAAATTTAAACAAATGTGATGAAAAAATACAAGTTATATTTTATAACCGAAATTAAACACTATTATACATTCAAACAAAATATTAAATAAACATGTTATTTCAAAACAAAACTTCTACAATATTGATTATATTGATTAAACATTTTTAGATAGTATTTTTAAAGTTTTCAAGCATATTTTGTTTTTGATAGACATCAAATATATTGGTTCCAATATTTTATCTAATCCCAACATAAATCTTAGCTTATAGCTTAACTTAATTTTATTAAACTTAATCGGTTCATTTCATATTTTTATATGCAATAGGTACCAACGTCGAAGTGATATCGCTACACCATAACGTCGAGCGCGTCAAAACGGTCGCTAAACGTTACGAGTCTGGCTTGGTGTGGATGGACGCGCGTAGCGGCGGCGTTAACTGGATGACACTGCACCCGGATGTTGTAGTCAACCGGTTCCCGAGGGACGCTAATGCCGCGTTGAAGTTGTGTGGCAACACTCTGGCTGGACAATCCGAGTTCAACAATTACTACCCGAGGGCGTATCCGGCGTGCACCGAAGGGATTCATGCTGATAGCTTCGTCGCAGATTACTCGCTAACCGCTTGTGTGTCGTTACTGCGAGCATTTGTGAATAGTGATCATCACACCATGTGCGCCAAAAACGGTCAGGTGAGTGTACCAGCAAAACTGCTTATTTTGGTAATAGCTAAGTATAGTGATTTAGTGATAACCGAAATTATTAATAGTTACACGTTAATTTAAATGAGTTTCTAATTTTCTATATTTTCTATAACAATTTTATTAGTCGACTATATAAATTATATGATTTGTTTAGTTTATACGTTTCCAGATGACATATTTTTCATGWATTATTCGTTTTTTATTTTATTATTTTTTTTGTTAGTCCATTTCATTGCTTGCTGGGTTAGCATAAAATTTATCGCACAATATTGCGTCATTCAGAACACTTTTTAGTTTTGTATATAGTCATCTAAAAGTGTTGAAGCACGATATATTTTTAGTTATTTTAGACAAATAAGTTGCTTTCCAACGTCCTAATGTTGTTTTGAATGTATATATATATTAGTTTATTAGCTTCTAATCTAGGTTATGTAGGAAAAATATTTTACACGCCAATGACGCCATGAATGCTCTTAGCTATTTTTTATTAAACCAGTTAAGTATATAGGTAACTGCTTTTCTATAAATTATGTGTCAAGAATATTTTGTCATTGAGTAAGTTGCTGTAATTTTATTTTATCTGTATTACATTTAAATACCTACTTAAAACAAATAAGAAAATAAAAAAATAATTTGAACGATTTGCATAAAAATGGTGTTTTTTGTACCTACCTGTAGTGTACCTAGAAATACTATAATACGTAATTGCTTTTGTATTCTATATATTAGTTTCTACCCGTAATTTAGTTTATAACATRTMTTTCTAATTCATGACATCGCAGGTTCCTCTTTCAGCACTTAACTTCGCCGCGATTAAATGTCACCAATACTTGACGGACGGCAGATCGCTAAGTGTGGCGTCGTTTCCAGGGAAGGGCGCTGATTGGGAAAAGTTTTTCGAACATTACTATAAGATCGTACACGACAGGCGGAAGTTCACAGTGCCAGTATCGGTCGATGACGAGGAAGAAGCGCTGCGCTATTTGGCAATGTCTAGTGGCAAGTTGGTTGACCAGTTGACCCAGGAGAGGCCTCAGACGGTGATGGACGGTTACGAGAACGTGTGGATTGTCAAGTCTTCAGTGGCTCTGCAGTCCGGACGGCCAGTGATGCTGAACAAGATCGGTGACGTGCTGGATCGTTGCGCGAGGGTGGGCGGTGCCAATCACATTGTACAGAAGTACATCGAGACGCCATTGCTGCGCAATAACGTCAAGTCAGACGTCCACACATGGATCGTGCTCTCGACGCTTGACAATCGGCTGACGGTGTGGTTGCACCGGACGTGCGCCGTGCAACCGTACCCGCACGAGTTCTCGCTGCACCGGGGCGGCACCAATGCCGGTCATTTCGATCGGCTCAAGACTGGTGGGCTGCACGGGATGCTACGGCCGACGGCACTGACTTGCAGCCTCAAGCAGCTCGTGGAGACGATACGGCATGGCAAGAAAACTGGAGAAAAAAAGCAGAAGAAACGGCGGCATCAGCAGCTGCAACAGGTGGCGGTGAACGATGACGGTGAAGACGGACACGGCGTCTACTCGGCTGTTAGACGGTCCGTGGTGTCGGCGATGACCGCGGCCACGACGGCCGGTTCGCTCGACCTGAGGCCCAACTGTTTGGAACTGTTTCGTGGTACGTTCGTCCTGGGCGACGACACGCGACCGTGGCTGATCGACATCGTGTCGGACGACCCGTGYATGGACGCTGAGTGTAACAGAGAGGGAGACCGTGCGACGCCATCGATCATTATAGCACGGAGCGTGGCGCGTGGTGTGGCCAAGATGCTGGTGGACGGCGGTCGCGGGCGGACCACCCGGATAGGCATGTTTGATATTGTGCATGAGTGTTCAATGCCAGCCGGCGCTGTTATGTATGTGCCACGGCCATTCGCCGAGTCCGCTCCTACGTACACCAAGTACAAGTTGCTGGCCGGCAGGACCAACCAGCCACGCGGCCACATGTCCACACGTGTTTCCCACAGTGAGGTCTATCGCCAACACCACTGGTGGGACGACGACTCCATTAGCACTTATGTGCAGATGATCAGTGCAGCCGACGTCGAGGATCAACCACAGACGCGCTCTCCGACGGTCGGCGAGAAGGTGGCGGTGACGGAAAACGATGCGGATCAGTGCTCAGTAGACGACGTGGAGCTGAGCTCAGAACTGATTTTTGGGTCGACCGAAGACCGCGACTCTTGCGACCCAGGCAACACCCGTCGGTGCTTGAAGCTGTTGAAAAAGTGTAAGACGAAAATCTCGTCCGTGCAATGGCTATGCAAGTCTATCATACGCCGAGAACACAACAACAAGAAACGTAATGCTTGACAAAACTCAGATTTCGCAAACGCCAACTTTTAAATGTATATGATTATATTATTATTATTTTGTTACTATATAGTATAGTTCAGCAGAACTATCCATGATGTTGGTTAACTCATTATTTCAAAAAGTTTTAAATTTTTTGAAACATTATTATTTTACATAATTTTACTATATCATTATAATATATCGCTTAAGAAAAAATAGATGAGTTTTAGATTCATGGCATTTACCACATGATTTTTAAGGTAAAGTATGTCTGGTTTATTTTTAATTTTTTTTTTTTTACATCAGTCGTCACTTTTTGAAATAATAAAAATACTTCAATCTCTAATTTTGAGGATGGTTTCTGGTAATAAATTAGACTCTGTTGGAAGTTCAAGTAAAAATATATTTAATTTAATATGATATTTTATCATACTACAATTTTCAAAATAATTTGTCTCTATTATTATAATTTTCAACTTTTTTTCGATTTATGTTTAATAAATATTCTGTTTTTTTTTTTTTTAAATAGCTTTCAGATTTTTGAACGACGTCGTCGAGTTAACATCTTCTGGGGCAGCTACTGCAGACCTACGCCGGTTAAACCAAAGTTGCAGTCAAAATGGGGAGATTCATGTCATCCACGTTGATCCACTATGATCGAATATGTCTCGAAGTTTAGAAAAATTTAATTTTTATTTTCATCATCAAATGACGACTGATCAGTATAAAAACACAAGATCAATCAAAATACGCACTATGCGCGCGCACATAGAAGTGTTAAAATGTTAAATACAATTTATTAACAATAGAGTGTATAAACAATTTTGAAATCTGTAAAGTTTAATCTAATGCAGTGGTCGACAACCTTTTTAGACTCTCGGGCTACATTCATCAATTAAAAAAAGTTCCCGGGCCAGACAAAAATAAAAATTTTATATTACAAATTATTTACTAAGAAAAAAAAAACTGTTTAAATATATTTATATAATATGATTTTTTTTTGATATGATATTCAATTAAAATTCGTTGTAGAATTTAAAGTGGGCCGTATATAATAGACTCGTGGGCCACCAGTTGCCGACCACTGATCTAATGCGATATTTAATGTGAATGTATTAAAATAATTTTTAATTTTTAATTATTACAATACTAGCATACCCGCCTTGGCTCCGCCCTAGCGTGAGTGTAAGGAATCACAGATAGAGTAGGTTGCAAATAAATCTAGAATACGCAGAAATTATTCAAACAATTTTTTATTAATCTACTGTATACTAAGCAAAAAAAAAGTTTACCTCATTAAAAAAAAATGAAATTTACAAAATTTCTGTATACACAATATTTTTTGTTTTATCCGTCGCTGACAGTAAAATAAATTGATTCACGGGATTTCCAGCTTTGGAGAGAGCTACGTTTGGCTGATCATGCGAAAAACAATCTTCGCGTAGATCATTTCTCATACATGTAAGTGTCTGCTTTTGCAACTTATTGATAGTGACTGCAAAAGAAACTCTAATTGGAAATTGCACTCTTTTGAACTTAATCGTCAAGTCTGAAGGAATCAAAGGAATTTTTGGAATAAAAGCAAGCTCCCCAGCAGCTAGATCCGTAAGAATTGTAGTTTCGATCACATTATTATACGCAAAGCCGTAACTTGCAACCGAACGCGGTTGCTCAATCTCAAAGGGTTAAGATTTTGAAGCAACATAATCGGAGTTCCTATTTTCAATCGTAACTTGTACTGTGGAAATCCAGGGGGTCTAATGAATTAAGAAATTCGGTTAGAAAATTCATTGCTTCAGCAGCCGGCATCGAGTCTAAAGCAAGATATTCTCTCAGTGTGCCCGGAAACATCTCTAAAATAGAGTAAAAAAAAATTATATATATGTAATACGTGCGATAAAAATCGTGCTTGGTGCTTGCCCAAAATATACCTTTTTATTCCTATTAGGAAGTTAATAAATAATTAGTTATTATTAATCAAAATAAACGTACAGAGTGTATACCTATATATTATATTATTATATTGTTTTAATAATAATTGTTGTTATAAAAAATATAAATAAGTTAGTTAAAAATTTAACTAAAAAGTTTTCTAGAAAATATGTTCTAAAAATAGAAAATTATAAAAAATAAATAAAATATTATTATACTATTATAATTCGGCAGATCAGCCCACCAATCCGAATACTCAAATTGCCGAATATGCAGACGACAAAGTCATATTMTCCTCTCACACCAACCCGGAATTAGTTTCAACCTCTCTCCAAAACCACCTAAATGACCTATCATACTAGTACTCTCACTGGCGTGTCAAAATAAACGAAAGTAAATCTGTACACACTACCTTTGCCCTCCGCCACAGCCAACCTCCTCCAGTGCAAATAAACAACAAACTCCGATATAGCTAAATATCTAGGTCTAATTTTCGATAAACGTCTAACGTGGGCTAAACACATTCATGCAACAAAAATTAAATTAAACAAACGACTCTACGCTCTCAGACCCATCCTTGGTAAATTCTCAAAACTATCCCTCCGAACCAAAATTCACATATATAATCTCCTCCTTAAACCAATATGGTATACAGGTCTGGGGCACTGCCAAAAAATCAAACATTCAAAAAATCCAAGTATTCCAATCCAAAATCCTTAGACTTATTACCAACTGTCCTCCTTATATCTCAAATCACACCCTACACACAGATCTCCATATTCCTAAAGTCACTGAAACAGCCAAGTTATTTTACTCCAAATTCAGAAACCGCCTYCATAACCACACAAACCCTCATATTAAAAAATTACTATCCATCTCCATCCCTGGAAATCCCCCAAGAAGACTCAAGCGACAATGGCCTCGAGATCTTATAAATTAAAATCATTAATCATAAAATCATAAATAAATTGTAAATTCACGCCGAAGTGCCTTCGCTGGTTGGTTCTTCCCTCAAGACATTCAAGCTCATTAATTATAATTTTAAAAAAAAAACCATAATTTATGCTTATTGTTCTTTTTTTTTATGTACAGATTGTATAATTTCTAGATTAAAAAAAAAAATATTATTATAATAATAATAGTGCGTGATTTGGTTCATGAGTCGGTAAAGTTCAATACGGTGTTAAGTATATTTTTTCTTTGCCTGGAGTACATATTGTGTACAGGGTACGTAGCAGTGGTGGCTCCAGGATTTTTTGCTAGGTAGGGCCAATGGGAGGTCAACAATTATAAGGTAGGGCCACCAAAAAATGAGATTTTAACAATAAATAAATAAGAATTAAAAAAAACAAATAAAATGAGCTAATTACTATATTTAAAAACTTTAAATGATTACAATACTATAACAAAACTACTTTAAAATAATTCTACGATTGCTATGTGCGTCTGCGAACTTATTTATTATTTCATCAATGTCTAATGCAGTGTTTTTCAACCTTTTTTTATGTTACCACCCCCTTGAGTAGAAATCAATTCTTTAACGCTCCTCCTCCCCCTTGGATTAAGAGCGCTTATAGGTACTGCTTATTATAACAGAATTATCATCGAATCTCTTATCTAACTCATTTGTTATTTTGTCTAAAATACAATAGAATATTCCCGATCTAAATTCGTTTTCTTCTATTGGCACTTGTTTTTCTAGTGCTATTTTCATATACCAATTTTTCCATGTTTATGTTTTCCCAATTTTTAACCTCTATCTCCTTTGCTCAATGTTGGCTGACGGTTTCTTTCTCTAAGCGCAGTCCATTAGTTTACAGGTCTATAATGATAAATTGGTAGTAATAAGTAATAACTTATATCGAATACGATACTATCTTAATAGGTAGGTACGCTCTATTCGTTCTAACGAAAACCAATAAATTATTAATACAAGTAGGAGTATTATTTATTCTAGGAATAATATCAATAATTATCATATTATAATATAATTTAGAAGTATTTATATTGTTAATGTAATAATGTTAAATTACATACTGTGAACAAAATACAAATACCATTATTTAATATTTTCTGCTTATGAAAAATGACTATATTATTATGTCTAAGGTCAGGTTAGTGGTAGGACCACTGGTAGGGCCATGGCCCGTCCCTGGCGCCGCTACTGGTACGTAGTCACGCCGAAGGCAAAATTTTGATTATCAAAAAGAACTTGATGCTTCAAAATGCGAGGCTGCAAGAGACTACTGAACGACAGAATCGATTATCGAAAACGGCTTGGCGTAATTCAACCGTTCGTGCGCTAAAGACGGGTATGCCAGTACTATAATAATTAAAAATTAAAAATTATTTTAATACATTCACATTAAATAACGCATTAGATTAAACTTTACAGATTTCGAAGTTGATTACACACTCTACTGTTAATAAATTATTGTATTTAACATTTATATGTGCATGCATAGTGCATATTTTGATTGATCTTTGGTTCTTTATACTGATCAGTCGTCATTTGATGATGAAATTGAAAATGAAATATACTATCGCTATCTGCARTTGTCTATCAGACCTTTTTCGTAGGTTTATTATCTTGTGTATAAATATAATATATAATATAATAACAATAACAACAATAATAATTATGATAATAATAATAACAATACTAAAAATGATAATAATAATAATCATAAAAATAATAATAATAATAATAACGATATGATAGGTACTAATAATAATAGTAAACCGGGTTTACAATTAAACCGTGTAGGTACAAAAGTTGAGCTCAGCCCAACTTCTCTGGTAGATCATGATAATTGAATGATACCATGGTTACAAATGGTTAATCAGAACGCCGTAGCTGAGAACTCGGTTTAATATAATATTAATAATAAAAATAATTATGTGTTTTCGACCAGCTTGGTATATAAAATGTGGTAGCCACCGCAGCAGCTGGTATTACTCCGGTTTCCGCGGCTCAACTTTAACATAACAACCGTCAGCCAGTTTGAGAGTGGTCAAGAATATGAGACGCAGTCGGTCCGGCGTCGGGCACCTGTCAGACGGCAGGAACCTGTGGTGGCGGACCAACGTGGACGCTATCGTCTTCATCTGCAGCATGGCGTACTTGAAACCGATGCAGTTTCGGGGTCCGACGCTGAACGGGATGTACGCGTACGGGTGCCGCCCTTGACATGCTTCCGGCAGGAAGTTGTCCGGATCGAACGCGTCCGGGCCGCGGGCTGTTCCACCGTAGTGCAGCGGACTTGAATGCAGGAACAACGGGCTGATGACCAGCGTGGATCCTATATAATGCATTCGCGTAAGTGATATTTTATTTCACAGTATTATAATTAGCATATATAACGTATTTTCTGTGAGTAGGTACATACCAACTAACCGATTTTTTATGACGTGGTTTTCGCATAAATTAAAAATACAGATTTTATTGTTGTTTTCGTCAAAAATATTACAGCAGAAAAAGACATACTTATGTAGTTTTAAGTGAAACATTTAGGTAGATATATCAGGGTGGTACAATTTTCTTTATTATTGACGACGATGCATGCGTTTTAATTTGTTTGTTATGTTTTCAGTCATTACAAGCATATACATTTTACGACATAAATGTGGTGATTTTTCTGGTAAAATAATTTTAAGCAAATATAAAAGATATTTATTTTTCGACCCCCTTCCATTGATAGTTGTCAAAARGGTGTSTCTTATAATCGCGGTCGTCCATTTATAAAGGCACCTATAGTGATATTATTTTTCTAAACTGGATTTCAGGTGTACTTAGTAAATTGTTCTTTATTTCTCTCATTACGTAATTTAATATATTTTCTTGTTTTTTCTCATCCGAGAATTCCTTAAGAATTTAAGGGGCTAACTATAAGCTCCCACTAACCCAGAGTATATAAAGTCTAGTCTAGCACTGCTCTGTAGTGTATGCATCCCTCTTAAAAGCGTAAAATATAATATAGATTATCAACGTCCTACTATATTACGTCCTGTAAAAGCTGTAGTAGCGCATAAAYATATAGACACCATCATTCGTCAAAACTTATGCAACATACCAGCTGGGCATAGGTGATTTCCGATTGTCATATCTTCGTYCAGGTGTCTGCCGAACACTGGAAGCGGGGGAAACAGCCGCATCGTTTCTTTGATCACCCGTTCGAGGTACTCCATCTGAAGCAAATCATTATACGTTGCCGGTCTATTACGATCTCCGGAAAATATTGATTCCTGCTCTTTGAAAACCTGTAAAATACAAATACACAGATCAAATGGGTTTGTAAATTAATGCGCAATTTAGAATTTACTCATAAATGTTATGTCAGATGTTCGGGGTGTTATTAGGTTGTTTAAGGTACCACTTACAGGGGGTGGTTAGAATGCAATTACTACTACAATTTACGTTTTACTACACATAGCTCGCACCACGTGTGTTGTATGTAAACTCATACGTTGTCTCTCAAATACTAGACGTTTTCGCCATAAGTTATAATTTTTTTATTAGTTCAGGTAGAATATTTTTGTTTCACGCTTGTTTATATATATTTACCTTGTCTTGTACGTCTTGATGATGAGCCAACATGAAAATCACGCAAGCATTCACCAAAGCAGTTGTTTCTTGTCCTCCTATATTCGCATGTTTATATTATATATAAAAAAAGACATAGGTACGTTATACAATAATATAAATTACTATTTAGTAATTAGGCATACATTTTAAAATATGTATTGAAAAAATACTATTTTACGAGAATGAACGACTGTGATATCTATAATAAAAAAATAAAATGTATATTATACATCATAATCATATTTGTGAAGCCAAACATCTTATTAGGTACACATATATACAATGATTATTGTCATATTAATTAGGCAGAAATTCGATACTTTTAGAAACTATTGTTATAATTAGATATATTTTTTATGATAGACTCACTGTTATACTCACTAATTATTATTATTAAATATATATTGTCAGAGAAGTTCATAAGAAATTWAAAAAAAAAWAAAATATTGAGAATATAATATCATAGGTATTTGACCTTATCCATAGGTTTTTGTTATTATTATTTTACTGTAGTAAACATAATTTATATACGTTGCGCACGTTGCGGTAAGATTTCAACCGTATAATAATAAATAATAGTTCATTAATACCTATATTTGATTATCATTAATATTTCTCATTCATTTCCTACGGTTATTAAGGCTTTTATGATTYACTAAAAAATCACGATATTTCCCATATTGTAGGCAAATAACATTAATGACTGGTGAATATATTCTGATGGTCTGATGCAATTAGCGTCGTTTTCCGTAACATGAATAGGCGGTACTAGTAATAAATAATTATTACTTATTAGTTTGAAGTTAAAATTTAAAATGCATTTATATTGTCTGTAATTAGCCGTTGCTTACTCACAAACGGTGAGTCACAGTGCTGCTCGCCGGTGCTCATCCATTTAGGGGTTTAGACTTTAGACGTACGTAATAAGTAATAATCAGTAATAATAACGCAGCATTCGTCTTCATYGKACAATAACGTTAAAARCAATGTTTTGGTCTTTCCTTAAAAAAATATTATTTTCAACAGTACTAACAAACAGATCATCAGTCAGATTATTTTGTAGTGGATCGGGGATCATACAAGCATTGTAATAAGACACAGTTAATCAGACACACAGTACCTAAAACGTTAGTACAGTAGCCCAGTCACCCAAACATTGATGAACTGGACATGGGTGTGATATAGGCATAGGTGATAGGTATGATAGGTATAGGTATACTCACCAATCATGACTGTTACAAGTTCGTCTCGCATTTGCTCGAGAGACATATTTTCATGAGAGTTCTCTAGAAAAATTTCAGTGAGCGTCTTCGTTGTTCGTCCAATGTCGTCGTCATCTGGATTCACACCTTTCTCGTGTTTCGATTTGCTTAGCTCCAAAATTTTCGTTTTGATTATTTCGTCAGTGAACTGGTTGATGATTTCTTGACTACGATCGTGTTTTCGTTTAATCGATGAAAACTGGAATATTGTATTGCTCAAGAACCATGGGTGTGTTATCCTATATTCCCAAGTCTAAAATTATAATACATCAAAATATTTATATCATATGTATACCAAATAAGATAACCATATGCAAAAGGAACGAAAACAAAAATTATCAGAAGAGTGAGCACTAAAATCACACGGTGAAAAAAAACCTGCAGGTAAAATGTTTTATAGTCATTAATCAATGAACARTTTTATTTTTAGAAAACTTAATTACAAAAACTAATAAGTCTTTTCCGAATTATACGTGTAGTATAATATTCCTATATATAATATAGGCAAGTACTACTAAAAGATAAGATAATTAATAATTGTGTAACTTTTGTTGTTAAAATGAAGTTAAATTATCAAAATTCGACATCTTTACATTGCGAATAATTGCTGTTGTAAAATTGTTTTGTCAGCATATGTTTTAATTAAATTTTTGTTTATCGTCTTAAATAGAATTTCATTTCCCAGGAAAAATACRTAAGCATTTATAAATTTATTATATCTGTTGGAAGTTAAAATTGTGTAATTTCATGTGCGTTTTAGTGTTATTCACGCGTAGGGTTTTAGAAAAAATGTAGATGCCTACGATTGAGTTAATAATTATGCATTGTACTATTTGTACCTATTTCATCAATGTTGGCTATAATAGAGTTTGTATTACTGTAACATAAACAGGTACCTACCTATTTAAGAAGTATATTTAATTACTTAAGCGAACTATCAGTTATTTATTAATTTTCTTAATGGGTATTTTTGGGTAGCAAATACTACAGCATGTTACAGTTAAACTGGAAAATAAAATTACTATAAATATTATTATTATTATAATCATACGTGCATCGCTGTTAGTAAATTTTCGACAAATCGATTGCGGCCTCCCTTTTGAGCGTTGAATGTGACCCCCAGAGCTGTTTTACCGATCATTTCCATCGTGGCCATGCTGACTGGAACGCTGATGTCACATTCTTTCGATGTCGAGTCACTGTTGTTTTTAAGTATTTCGGCAAGAACCAGCGATTCTCCATAAAATATGGGTATAAATTCTTTTAACAGTTTAAAACTAAAACCTTTAGTTACCAATTTTCTGAAAGTCAAAAAATGATTGTGGTGTATTTAAATATCTGACGTGCTGGTTTTATTTACTATTATATTTTAGGAAACTCSCACATGCTTTTATTTTAATTTTCAAATCTATAATAGCAATATAGCAATGATATGGTGTAATATAATTTGGTACCTGTTAACCTTCCATTTATTTATGTCATCGATCGTAAATATTCCTTGTCCCATAATGGACTGTTGCAAAACCATGTATTCCTTGGATTTTCTTAGAAATTTTGGATTCGTAAGAACAAATTCAATATCTTCCGGCAAAGTAAGAATAATGTACAAATTATTTAACAACCAAAGTTTAAATAATGATTTTTCGTATCTAAAACATAGATTATAATTTATTAAAACCAAAGAAGATTAATTAGTTAATTCGAAATCATACATTCATACAATCATACGTGAATACTTATGAATAAAATAATAAAAATAATATTATAGGTATACAATATATTCTATAGGTACTGGTTATAGTATTATATATTTATAAATATGCAAGTTAAATTGGTATTATTAAAAATTGCTGATGCAAGAAGAGGCTACCATTAAATTTCAAACTTAACATTTATAAAATAATTGTTTGCATATGTTCCCAGTCTAATGAGGTTAAAAAAAAAAGTTTTAAGAAGATGGATTCTTATTTACTTATTATTTAAATTTAATTTCAAATACAATTTTGTAGCTTAATATTTTAATTTATTTAATTAATAACCTAATCAATTAAAATATGACGTGATTTTTTTCAAACTTAAAATATACACAAAAATAATAATTCATTAGATCGCTTAAAATTATTTTAAAATTAATAATAATACACAGAAGTGTATAGTTTTTTATTTGATAAGTTTCTTTATGATTTGGGTACAAAACTCACGTTCTGTATATATTTTGTGCGCTTTTAATTTTTTGTTCAGCTCCTTGTATAGCCAACGGTAATACGCCCACCATAAACGATCCTTCTGTACCCGGTATTTGGTTAGCTAATATCCTTCTTCTTCTGCCTTTAACGCTTATTACTATTGAAGCAATCGCCAAAACGGCCAACAGTATCGTGAAAGTTAGCAGCCACATATCTTCACGATCAGTTGAAATTAATTTTACAATTATCTGTAAACGTATCTATATAAAATAATATATTAGTCATATCGATCGTTTAAAGGCAATGATAGAAATAGTAAAGAAATTGCGAAGACAAGAAAAAATTGTATCCATGGCTATTGGCTATATAGTGATATAGCCATGGGGGGGGGATTGAGATTTCGCATTTCCCACCCTTATTATTATTACACAAACAAAACATAAAACCACAACCAACAGACATTTCATAACTCATTATACCTGCTTAGTGTTTACTTTAAAATACTCAACCATAATCCATAAGCATGTGTACTGTGTAGGTTGTAGACTGTAGCAGGCAATTGGGGTAATACTGGTTTTTTTTAATGGATCAATTTAAAGTATAGTTTTAAATATCCCTAGATATTTTTTGTTTAAATATTTTTTGTCTGAAATGTTTAAAATTAATTCAAAATTGTAACTATTTCGAACTTTTTATGGGTTCGATAAAATATTTGAAAATTTAATTGGTACTCAGTTACCCTGCAACCCCCATCTACTAATCACACGCACACACATGCTAAATACTGTTTATARGTTCATGGTAAAACGACTCGCAGAAYCAAGACGTAATAATAACGCTATATAATGGCAAGTTAACCCTATAGTGAAATAAATAATAATAATTGAATGTAGGTATACAGATAATTAATTCATATTTTATTACTCCTTTTATATAATTGTATTCCTGCAAACATATTATGTATCTATAATTTTTTTTTTTTTATTAAAAGAAATAACCCTCGGAAATTTGGCCATTGGGATAAGATGCATTTTTTTTTTTTTCGAAAGGTGTTACATAATAATAATAGAAAAGGTTTAATAACAATAAATGTCTTAATTATAATTTGAGTATAATTATAATAAGATTGTGTTTTTCTAATGGTGAAATAAGTTTATCCTGGAGGAACACGAATATGTCCGGTGATTGAAGAACAGGTCCCAGTTTGTCGTATAAATCGCTGGTAAGATGATTGCGATTTCTTGCCTCGAGGTATGCAATACATTACGTGAGAATGTGTATCTATAATTGTCAGGAGTTAAACTTACTTTAAAATGTTGCCTATTTCTGATAGAAGATTTGTCAATAACAGATACGGGGGGGCGCTGAAATATTTTGATGTGYTAATCTTACACGACACTTATATAGTTATACCTAGAACAATTTAACATTTAATTAAGTAAAACTTAAATGTAACAATATATTTGACTTTACCGATAATACACGGAGCTAGCGAAGACACTGCATCGACAATCGTATTTTGTTGTGGTTCAGAAGATTATTATTATAAATTTAGYGAAGTTGTAAAAAATAGTTAGGTGTGATGGTACTCCGTGGTGATACAGAACAAATGAAAGATGACGCATAGGTCTTGTCATGTGTCGAGTGTACAATGTACATATAAGTATAATGTTTAGGTATATTATAGTAAAATATAAATACCATAATGGTGGAGAACCACCATTACACGTGTAGAATATTAAATCATGAATATTATAATATTACTATACCTACTTAAAGAACGGGTAGGTAACGCGTTAATATTTAATATCTTATGTTTACATACCTTAAAATGTTTGATGAGTTTTCCAATATATTTTTCGTTTGCCCATGCAAAATGAACTTGAAGCAAAAGTGTTCATCTATTTTTTTGTTATTGAAAATATAAGCAGTAACGTCTTCTTATTCGAACTGAACAAATAAATTAACTATTTATTGTTTTATCTGTTTGTTAATTTTAAGGTATTATGTACTCAAGAGTATGAACTGAAACTGAATAATAAAATTTAAGAATAATTTTGAAGTACAAATTGAAAATGAATTACCATCATAAACAAAATTGAWTATTAATCGAAACCATCTATATTCGTAACGCATATCTAACAGTAAATATTATTAATAGTTTTAAATATGATAGATTTATACACGACAAGATTAATATAGTATATTATATCAACGAAAATTATTTTTTATTGGTGAAACTCCGATTAAGTGTGTTATACAGAGAACTTATCTTAAAAATGTTGTATACTAATATGTGTGCTTGAACACCATTAAACTCGACCAGTTTAAACATTAAAATACAATAGAAATCAATATGTATGGYGTGTTCCATTACAAATATACGTATTTTGCTCTCATAAAATTTAAATCGCATGCAATCATTATTGATTACATTAACGATAAAGATCAAAGGTTTCTAGAAGATGGCCTAGTTATAATTAGTGTCAATAAACTGTTTTTTGTAAATATGCTAATAGTCGACACATTTTGGGAATAGGTACAAATGAYTAATGTACAAACTGGTTTTTACGGTATTCAGCTCGGACCATGATCTACATAAGGTTTTGCAACTTTTGGTATCTGAGTGGAGTGTTAATGATTTAAAATTTTGTTTTTATTTTTGTATGTCATCACGTTTTGGAGTAAAAAAAAATTCTTCAATCTTCAATTTTGATTACTTGTAGTGATGGTTTATAATAATTAAGAAAAGGTAAAAAACAATAAGGAATGACAAGAATTGACACCAATTATGGAAAAACTCGATTTTTCACTCTGCTGTACAGTTTAAGTTTCGATTGTATCTATCATTGAATCAATGACCCAATAGTYACTGTGACGGATGTCTTAAATTGATTCATTGCCGTCTTATACAGTAGAACGGTGGTGCGAATATATTAGTGGTATAAATATAGGCACCCTTTAAAAGTTTAGTTTTTTTTATTYATACAAGGTATTTATTATTTGTACGAAGGCCCAATAAGCAAATTGTATTAGTTTATTTGTGTGAATAAGCTATTTAAAGGAAGTAATCAATCATCTTATGACACTATCTAAAATATTAAAATTACATTAAATATTTTGAAAAATTTAATTTTATACCTACAGTAAATAATGATATAGTCATTAATGAAGTTTCGCTAAGATCTTGCATTATTTGCTAGTTATACCTGCGTTAAATGTGATAGAATTCCGTATTATTATATAATGGGTTATGGACCACGAAATAAAACAAAAAATTCCGTATATACATCATATATATATATGTACCTGTGTATGTATGTATGTATGTATGTATACGTATTGCGTGTGTATGGTGTGAGTGTAAGTCTTATAAAATATACCGAAACATAAATTAAACTATTGTTATTCCTACAAATTTAATCTCAATTTCATAAGCACAACAATCATGTGTTTTGCGTGGCCTATAGGCTATAGCCTAGGTATAATATAAATAAATATTAGACTTGTACTTGCATCTTATAACTATGATATGCATGGTTTACACCGGTATAAACATTTTTTTTTCATTGCATACAATGTTCTTTTAAATATCGATCTGCACTTATATGAGTTTAAAATTAAAAAATTTTTATGGCCAAAAGTTAAACTATAAATTTTCTTTTTTTATAAGATCCAAAGATTAAAATATAATAATTTATAAAATCGTCATTGATTTGGYTGCTGTAAATTGTAAAATACTTAAATTTTAAGGCCATACGATGTTTTAACTTGATTCATATATTATACCCTCATCCCTCAAATCTTATTTATTTTAAACACCTATAATATACATTTTCACTGTTTTTTCTGTAAATTTGTAACTAACTATGTTATTTCTAAATGCTTTGTTTTTATTCAATATTTCGCATTAGTTAAATATTATTCATTAGCATGTGGTTATAAGTGTGAATGTCAATTAGCACCTACAGTATTCCTATATTTTCTTTGATTTATATGTATTACTTGTTTGTCTGGTTGTCGTCATGCTCATTTCCATTAGTTGAGTCATATAGGGCTAGATAATTCTARAAGAATAATTAAAATAATATAAATGTACCTATAAATAAGTATAATATGAACCACTCATTATTTCAAAAAGTATCAATGTTTTTGAAAATATTTTTTTACAAAGTTTCATGTTGTTAAAAAAACAACGTTTTTATTAA